GCGGTGGGAGGGGTGCAGAGCGGAGTAATTGCCCCCCCCCCCCCCCCCCCCCCCCCCCCGAGGACTGCGGAACCGCGAAGGAATTGACCACCAACTGAGGTCTAATTTTATTTTTTTATTTTTTATTTTTTTTTATTTTTTTAATAACGACTTTACATTTATTTTTATTGCTTTATATTAAAACAATTTTTCAAAATTTTTTTTTACAATAATTGAAGTAATGTCATAGTGTGATAATTAACGAAAAAAAAAAAAAAAAAGAGAGAAATCGAATATATAATGTATTTGTAATAAAAGGTTGCCCTCTAGTGGCACGTTGTCCTCCATGCAATTTGCACTGACGGCAGTCGATGCAGTATGTGCCGGTAGTTATGCTTGTGTGTTTTTTTTGTATATTTTTTTTTACATATTAAACACACTAAGAACGTACCTAATATAATAAAAATAAAAATAAAATATTTTTAAAAATTTTACCCATATTTAATAAATCATAAAATCCTCTCAATTTAGTTCACGAACTAAAAAAACAAAAACTGACGTTTGACCGTCGATAGTGAATGACAGCTCGACGCTTCCAACATCGGACGACGGGATTGGTCACTTGACTCCTCCCGCCAGGCGTGGACCAATCAGCTTTGGCCTTATTGGTTGGCGGGGTTAGGGGTGGGCGGGAAGCGCTGTGGAGTTAGCACTGCCCAGTGTTAACAACAACAACAACGAAAGCGGGCGATGAATTAATTAACGTTATCTTCCGCCACGGACGTCACGGGAGAGTGTGTCGGGAAGTTTCGAAACATATTGCGGGGAAGAGGATTTACAAATGGCGTCGAACCGGTAATAATAGGCGGTAAGTACGGCAAAACGCCGGCTAAAACGGCGGCGTTTTCAAGCTAGCTCAGTCCTAGCTAACGTGTGCTAAGTTAAGCCCCTGTTAGCCGTTTAAGCTAACATCGACCGGTAAAAAAACCAAACAAAAACACACACAAAAAACCCCGCTTTTTTTGTCCCAGTCTGTGGTTTTATTGTTCTGTAAACTTAATGTCTGTAGCCGCGACAACTGACGAGTCGCCGTCAACGATATCTTGCGTTTTTTGTTGTTGCCGAGTTTGTCTTTATTCCGCTAGCTATTCACCGCTCTTATGTTTAGCGATAAAAAAAAAAAGTAGCCGTTAAAATATCAAAAACGGATACGGTTAATTTTATTTTAAATAATAAAAAAAAAATTTTATTTAGTTATTTTTCAAATGTGACGTCATTGTTGGACACATGAATAAAAATGTGGCTTAACTTTAACTGTTTTTTTTCTTGTTTTTTTTTTTTCTCTGTCCAGTTTCAAAAAATCCTGTTGTAATGTCCAAACCCTGAGGGCGGGGGCGGGGGTTCCCAAAAAAAAAAAAAAAAAAAAATCAAAATGGTAATTATTCATTATCTTAAGTGTTGCCTCGGATTGTTATGTTGATGTGTGCGACGTGAGTTTCCAAAAAAAAAAAAAAAAAAAATTTTATTCTGTTTCATTCTAGATACGCATTGCAGCGTTGAACGCTGCGGCGACGGCCGCGGACGAGTCACAGGACCCACTGAGGAGCAGCAAGAGTCAGACCAAAGAAGCTCAGGTACAGGAGGAGGAGTCACCGAGTTAGCATCAGGGGGAGTCACTGAGTTAGCATCGGGAGGAGTCACTGAGTTAGCATCAGCAGGAGTCACCGAGTTAGCGTCAGGAAGAGTCACTGAGTTAGCATCAGCAGGAGTCACCGAGTTAGCATCAGTAGGAGTCACTGAGTTAGCATCAGTAGGAGTCACTGAGTTAGCATCAGCAGGAGTCACCGAGTTAGCGTCAGGAAGAGTCACTGAGTTAGCATCAGCAGGAGTCACCGAGTTAGCATCAGGAGGAGTCCCCGAGTTAGCATCAGGAGGGAGTCACTGAGTTAGCATCGGGAGGAGTCACTGAGTTAGCGTCAGGAGGGAGTCACCGCGTTAGCATCAGAACGAGTCACTGAGTTAGCATCAGCAGGAGTCACCGAGTTAGCATCAGTAGGAGTCACTGAGTTAGCATCAGGCGGAGTCACCGAGTTAGCATCAGTAGGAGTCACTGAGTTAGCATCGGGAGGAGTCACTGAGTTAGCGTCAGGAGGGAGGCACCGAGTTAGCATCAGGAGGAGGCACTGAGTTAGCATCAGGAGGAGTCACCGAGTTAGCGGAGTTAGCGTCAAGAGGAGTCACCGAGTTAGCATCAGGAGGGAGTCACTGAGTTAGCATCAGGAGGAGTCACTGAGTTAGCAGACGACACGTCTAGACTGATATAATCAATCCCAGATCTACTCTCATCATCACCTTCTTGTTCTTCCTCTTCTTCTTCCTCTTCCTCTTCTTCTTCTTCTTCTTCCTCTTCTTCTTCTTCTTCTTCTTCCTCCTCTTCTTCCTCTTCTTCTTCTTCTTTTCTTCCTCTTCTTCTTCTTCTTCTTCTTCCTCTTCTTCTTCTTCCTCTTCTTCCTCTTCTTCTTCTTCTTTTTCTTCCTCCTTCTATTCCTC